GGGGGTGGAGTGTTTAGTGGGTACACTTAAATCGTAGAAACTTCAACACTACCATAGAGAGAATAGTCCTTCATGGTGTTCATAAAGGATTTTGACCACCTCCAGAAAAAAAAACAGCTCGCTCGCAATATTTGATGCGTCCTGTTTCTAGACTCTTGTTGCTAGTGTCAAGTTGTAACTGTGGATGTGGGTCAAGTTGAGGTTAGCAGCACTCTCTTGTTGGGACACCCTCTAAAATGAAGATTTAGTGCCATTGCGCATTCACAGTACGGCAAAAAGCGACAAACGAAATAGAGCTGGTTTGAATTTCAAGTAGAACCTTAATACATCATTAGATGTTCTGCTTCAATTTTATGGTGGTTTGGAAGAAATGGAAAAATTTGAATGTCATTAATTTATATGAAATGTAACATTAAAAGAACTACGAAATAGCCACAATGCTCAAAGTGGAATGAAATGTTAAATAAATGCAAAAAGCTCAAAGTCATTTCCACACAGTGTTCATAAACTGAACAACAATGGTAGATTTCGGGAGAAAAACAACTACTTCCCTGGCTAATGCCACGCAGGATATTGAATTACATCCTCCCGAAATCTATGCATCGACTCGTATAAACGAATACTGATACAAGTGATTCTTTCCTGAATGCCTATTGATTTCGATTAAGCAGGCCGCTAGACAACCACAGACCGGTTTCGAGCTCTTTGACTCTCATCAGTGCAGTGTAGTCTCCAGCCAGCAGTCCTAAGACCGCCGACTCAACGAAGCCTAGCCAAACAAAAATCAATTTGTCATTTTATCCACCCCGAGGCGTCTTTCATCGACAAAATGAAAGTAACGCCATCTGAGTAGAACAGAGGAAAGAATCACTCCAAAACTAAAATTCCCATACGGGAGTGGCTGGTTGCCCGACTGGCGTAATTTCAACTACGAAATAGCCACAATGCTCAAAGTGGAATGAAATGTTAAATAAATGCAAAAAGCTCAAAGTCATTTCCACACAGTGTTCATAAACTGAACAACAATGGTAGATTTCGGGAGAAAAACAACTACTTCCCTGGCTAATGCCACGCAGGATATTGAATTACATCCTCCCGAAATCTATGCATCGATTCGTATAAACGAATACTGATACAAGTGATTCGTTTATACGAGTCGATGCATAGATTTCGGGAGGATGTAATTCAATATCCTGCGTGGCATTAGCCAGGGAAGTAGTTGTTTTTCTCCCGAAATCTACCATTGTTGTTCAGTTTATGAACACTGTGTGGAAATGACTTTGAGCTTTTTGCATTTATTCACCATTGAAAGAATTGGGTATGCCGATTTTTTCGAAAATCTTTGACATCTTCGCCGCTATAACTTTTCACCAGTATAGGGCTTACGGAAAAATGTGAATTCATCACAAATGCAGGACATTTGGTCTTCGATTTTGTACTGTACTTCTTTCTTGTAGTTTCTATGATTGAGAAATTATTCAGGAAGAAATAATATGTTCAGCACCTTCAATCCAAAATGGCGGATCGCGCCGACCCACTCCCCCAACTTCCCCAATATCGAAAACTTGGATTCTTCATCAAAGCCCTTAACTAAACAGCATAAGCCATTTTCCCTCGAAGTTAACCACACAAACCGGGTCAATAATGAGTTAAGCAGTCAATTTTCCTCGAAGTGTATTCCATACTATGACGTAATAGGTAACCAACCACACAAACCAGCTCACTGAGGTAGTTCACGAAGTAGTTAATGCTTTTGATTGGGCACTGGATTGTGTTCTTGTTGTTGTTATACTCTGAGGTTATATAATTCATGAGAAAATATAATTATACTCCTTAAAGAGATAATTATGGATACATTCGAAGTATTTTCCAATGCTGAGAAATCTCATCATATTATTGATAGAAGTGAATATCTAATTCATTGCAAATATAAACGTAGCGAATTGTTTCAATTTTCTTGAATCTAATGTAGGTGAGTACCTAGTTCCTATATATGATATATTTTTGTGACAGGTGAATTTCTCATTCAATACATTATTTTTACTACTGAAACAAAGCAACAAACTGAAAAACAGCTGATAAACTGACATCTGTCAAGCTTCACAAGTATAAAAGTAAATCGTGACGTCAGCCTAAAGTCAACCTGGTTTGCCTGGTTATAGGTTCGAGGAAAATGACTATAATATACAAAAATCATGACTCATCCACCTTTCGCAAGACACAACCCTCTGATGATTGGACTATGTCTAGAAATAGTACTATGCGGAGGCATTTACTGTTGAGGCCGATAGTGAAACGTTAATTCAGTGATGTTTCAGCTCTCACCTGGAACTTTTCTGTAAACTGATGTGCCTAAATCAGTGAGCTTTTGTAGCATATCACCATCACTATTGACTACTCAGTCTCACAGATTTCAGCACAAATCGCATTACCAAATCGTCGTGAAGCACCCTGTATTTTTGTCATCATTTGTATATCGTGCTAGATGTATGATTGACCCGCCTCTGGACCTAAAGCATTCCATACTCCAAAAACGGATACCAAAATAAACCGAAATAACTCCTATTGACACTTGGCACAGACAATAATAGCATTATCTTCCAAAAAAAAAAGGAACGTAATGCCGTTTGCCGCCCTTTTCAGGTGATAATGCTCGATTGTTATTCAGACAAGTATAGTCATAATGTTATAAATTGATAATTAAAATGATACACGGTGTCGATAAGATGAAGGCGATTGTACCTGCTCTTCTAATATGGCTAGTTTCCGGCAGGATATTTCCTAACCTGGATAGGACGTCATTTGAATTACAAGCCAATATCATGAGCGGGTTTGCATAAGCTGATGGAAGTTAGTAGGTAATGATATAGTATTGACAAACCAGACATCGGTCAGCTATGATGATAGTAAAACCTTTCTCTTTTTTGCATCTTCATTTGGAATCGATCAATTAGCATTGTGAAATATAGGTTAGTGTAATAGCCGAATCTTTAATTTGCTTTAAAAAAGCTCCGTCATATTTGCATAGTTGGGAAAGGTAGTTTGACGAAAGTTAACTTTGACACAATGATTCCAAAGTCATTTGGGTTTAGCAAAAGTGTAGTTTTTGAAATTTGGTCTTAAACAGCAGAACTGAGATATGGGCTGTATGAAAAAATCAGGGACACCCGGTATATTTGGAATTAGGAGAAGGCGCTAAACCGCTTAGAAAAATGAAATACAGGGGGTTCCATTTGAAAAATATCAGTTCATGTAGAATTTTCAGGTTTACGATGATTTTTTGCATTTCCTAGTAGGTACTGAAAATACTCCATATTGGCCCATTTGAAGCGTTTTTGTAGAACCATTAACTGAGACAGCATACCTTTTGAGTGGAATATAAACAACCACCCTGTACATTACTATTTATGTTGAACCAGAACTGAATAATTCGACTTTTCGTTAGCTCTGTTTTAGAGTCTATGTCTCTGTACAATATTGTTGAGTGGATCACTTTCTTGACATCTATACTGTTTTTCGAAAGTCTTTTCTTGTTTTTCAAGAGAAGTCACTCCCACAATTTTTTTTTACCACCATCTATAAAACATAACATTATTTACTTCTTTTCGAGGCGTGAAGTGTGTTTTTACTACCATGGTAGTTTTCGTCATTTTATGAACCACTAGTTAATAAAGACAAAGCTCTGGCACTGTTCTGATCAGAGTTTCCTGAAATGGCACTGAAATCTATAGTAGCCTTGATTATATACACTAGTGTGAATACTCAAAGATAGTAGGTTTTTATACAGGGTGTTCGCTAAAAGGAGGTCAATCCATCAACCACATATTCCTTGAACAAAAACAATGAGTTTCTAAATACAATTTTTCATTTTAGCACTTCATATTCGATATACAGGGTGTCAAAGTTGGAAATTAAAAACTGTTTTTCTCAATTACTCGCGTATTTGATAAGATATTGATTTCAAAATTGGTAGGTACATTACTTCAGCACAAAGAGTTACATCGTGTGGGGAAAACATAACAGAAAATAACTGTCAAATATTCAAAATACTGGGGGTCAAGTACACACTCACCCTAATTTTTTTGTACGTGCGCTAATGACTTCTTATCTATTTTCCTTCAAGTGTTCAATCATATTTGAGTATTTTTTGTTTCTTGTAAAATTTCGATTAAATCATTTTTTTTTAAGATAATTCGAAAAGTACTGGTTATTGTTTGATGCCTATGCGGCTTACGGTAATCTCATAATGTTCACATACTCCTATTTATTTCGTCGAAATTGGAAGAGGGCGTATCTTTTTACGTACGAAAAGGTAAATATGGAAATACCGGGTGCTCAGAGCAAATGTACTAAGATAATTTTTACAAAAAAAAAATTAAAAAAGTATTCCTCATGATGAATAATATGCAACTACTGAAGTTGAAAGTTCTATATGCATGCGACATCATTCACGGATTTATGCACATGATCTATGAGTTCTGTGACATTCTGAGAATTTTGACATTTGACTTCGTGTGACATTCGAAGTTTATTCATGAAATGAATTGTTCCTTTTTTTATCTTTCTACTTATACGTAGGTAGTTATTTTAGAATATGTTGTGACTGATGCTCTTGTGATAATAATTTGGTTTATCAGTTATTGAATGGGAGTTCCTTTGTTTGAAGTTTATCCATGAAATGAATTGTTCTTTGATGATTTTATTCTCCTATTGAATATTCAACTTCAATACATTGTTTTATTTGTATTGTGATGAAGATAAATAATATTTTTGAATAGGTACGTTAATAGATAATTGGCAGTCATACAGAAGTAGCCTCCTGCGCATGCGCATGACATCAAAACGTAATAGATTCTCAAGAAATAGTGATAGATTGCAAAAAAATTTCGCCTGTGGCGGCATCTCTTTTCTGACTATTACTAAATTATTATTTATTACTATTTTGTCTTTGAAAGTATTACTTTTTTTATTTTGACATATGCAACACTGATGCTTGTGGGTCACACTGTATATGACACTCCACTGGCGGCCACGGATATTTCCACGCACTCAGCCGATGTGTATGGCTCGTCCCCTACATCTGCGTACACCGTTTCGGTCGTCATGTTATATCCATCATCCAGTCCAGTGAACATGCCTGGAGAATTGGAATCTCGACTGTTTTATATATTCGCGGAATAGACCGATATCTTATGGAGCCGATAAATCCTGAAATTAAATTAAATGAATGTATATTCTTCGTTCGTTATCGCCGGAATGGCATCTTGATATTTCAGAAATTATGGAAAAATCTATTTGACAATCTGACAAAATCAGGCATGTGCTGGGTCAACTATACAAAAGTAGTCCTCCCCGCCCCCCCTCGTTGATTTTTGAGCGACTGAGTTTTATTCTTATTATTTTTTGTCCCAATGTTAGCTCATCTTTTCGATTCCATTAGAAAATATTCACGCTGATTGACAAAAACGCCACCTATCTGATTTTGACAAACAAAAAGCAAATAAAATGACTCATTAGTATAGAGTAGAAGTTGGCTCTGATATTTATTATTTCAAATTTAGATTGTGACGTCAACCATTGTCAACTTTTTTTCAAATTGATTTTTTTTTGCTTCAGATTTTTATTTCTCAATACAGTAATATATGATAAGTTGAATTCTGCATTAGCTCAGTTTGAAAAATAAAAAAATTTCAAATAAGTTTCCTATATTGAGGTTCTCATCTCACTGTGCGGTTTGTGAAAAATTAATAAATACGTATTCTTTCTTTTTCTCATAAGAGCAAATTTCACTTCAGAAAAAAATAAATAAAAGAGGAACTTGGCTCCTCCACCATTCCTATTACGTATTTTCTGAGAATCCACATTCACACAGACTTAAAATACGATTCCCTGTGCCATTACGACGTTGCCGACATTATCAATATGTCTAGATTTCCGGAAATTGTTCTTTGAATGCATAATAACTATATTATAACAGCAATGTGATATAAAAGGTTCTTCAATCCTACTTTGTAGCAATAATAATTTCCATGAATCTCTCATTGGCTGAATGAATTTGATTACTAACAAAGATAAATTATGATATTTCGCGATAGTATCTATAGTTTTTCAGTATCGTTATATTACAATATGTTACTCATAACTTGTCAGTCATTTTTTTGCTAATGAATTCGTTCCTTAATAAAACGGATCTATTTTCTAGGAAAGTTGTAGATTATATATTGCAACAGCGCCTAATACTCCGAGTCCGTCCACACCACTCAAAGTACTAACATGCACAACAAGGGGAAGGAGCCATGGGTGTCGGCTTCATTCTGTTCGGACCGATAACAGTAAATTAGGAAGGATAGTATCATTGAATGAAGCCGATAGTGATTGATTGATTCAATGATATTTTCGTTTAGGATCGAGCTCTATTCGAGATATTTCAATGCATGAATAATAAAACCATATAACCTGTCCGAATGAAGCCAACTACCCTCTGCATTCCCGCTCCGAGTGCTTTGTGGTTATGTATGTTTTTGTTGTTTTTTTTCCATAGGTCGCGTGCACGAAGACCAACCCTGGAGGCAAAATATTGAAACACAACCTCATTCTTCTGTGAATTATTGAAACACAACCTCACTTTTTTATTTGGTTACAGAGGAATCAAAAGGTTGAAATAGTTTTTCACAATATTTTGGCATACGAATCGTGTTTCTTGCGTTATTCATTAATTCAAGCATGCTTTCGCATTGTGCTGTTGTACAATGCACAAAAAAATGCAGCAAGAGACTAGGGACTTTTCAGGTAAATAGTAATCTCACATAGTTATCATTATGAAATGTTGTCATTCCTTATTAAAATTCCTTCTGCCTTCTGCCACTTCTGCAATACAAGCTAATGCTGCTAATAGATTGAAAATGTCTACAACACACACGATCGTCAGCATGTCAGACCAGTCCTCCCGATTGATTGCATGAATCCAATCTTCTTGCATTATTCTAGAAATTTCAGGTATATTTCTATTAGCTGATCCTATTGCAGAAGGAATTCCGATGAGAAATCAGAGAAATAACCAAATTTCAAAAATGAAAACTATGTGAGTGACTATAGTAGGTACTTACTTTTGAATCATAATGTACCATCCGGATTTCTTCATCTTCCGCTGCAGTTTTTGTGCATTTTACAACAGCACAATGTGATGGCACTAGCGAATTGATGAATAGCGGAAAAATACAATTCATATGCCAAAATAATTGTGGAAAACTATTTCGATCACTTGTAAAAAAAATATGTTTTGCCTCCAGGGTCGGTCATCTGACAGTTCTTGCACGCGACCTATTCATTTTTCATTCGTTAGCTATTCGTTAGCAATTCGCTAGCTATATTTTTTACCATCAGCTATTTTCAGACTAGATTCAGAATGTAAGTCACAGTTTGCCCCGCCCCGAAAATTAGAAATTGCTTTGATTTGAAAATTAAAACGACTTGGACTTTATCGATCGCCATTCTGTACAGCGTGGACATAAAACTGGAGAGTTTCGAACTCATTTTATGAAAATTCATCGGAAGGAAACTTCCCTATTGTATTGCTGAAAAATGAAGTTGGTTGTTCGAGTGTAGGTCAATTCGGCTTCTGTATTAGTAGAGCAAGTCTCAAACAAAAAATATCGCAGAAATACAGGAGAATCCGTGAAAATTGTCGATTCATATTGGTTCTCGAGAACAAGAGTGGAATAGTCAATAGAAATCTGTTGATATCTCCGAAATTTATTCAGTTTGGATTTCAGAATACTGCAGAGAGTTTTTCGCGTAATCACCATGATGTGATCCATCAACAAGGCATATCTCCCAGGAGTTAGCTGGGCCAATAAAATAATTCGAGAAGCAAGAAACGGCTCATTAGTAGAATTCCGGATTACGCCTTCACCATCCTGAAATCGATAATGTATTCGCCAATAACGAGCAAAAAGTTTTATTGGCCGAACAAATGATCGGGGACTTTTTTTGAACTGCAAATGAATCGGCCACTTTCTTCGGTAATGAGCTGCCTCCTTAACGTATTGCCAAATAAATCGACATTAAATAGAACTGTTGCGATGACCTTCCAAATTAGCGTGGTCACCTTTAAGTATTTCCCGATAAGCGAAATGCAATTGCATGGTTTCTGAACAAGGAAAATGCACCTGCGAAAAAAAATCATGAGGATACCTAACAGATGCTCTTTGGACGATCCAGATAGATATTTATTTTCTGTCAGTTTCCCAAATAGAGTTGGCTGGTTAGAAAGTTTCGACGGTCTGCAATGTACGAATAACTTGTACAGGGTGTTGTTGAAACTCCGTCTCGAGAACACTGGACTTTCCCCGTGATTTATTACCACCCCTCAGTTTCCATTTTGTTCCATTCAATGTAGGAACATATAGTGAAATGAAGTTCTCTCTCAAACATTTACCACGAGTTGGGAGATTTTGACACGTTGCCTTTCAAACTTCATTCAAGAGTTTAGTGAATTCATCACAAGAACTTGTATTAAAAAAATATGGAACAATTGATAGCACAGGCCGTGTGCTTTCACTGCGTTTTGTTCTGTTCTCATTCATTTTCCTCATAGAAAATAGTAATGACGTGAAGTCGAAGAAATATGTTATTCATACAGGATGTCCCTGAATAGTCTGTACAAAATACCCAAATAACATTATCAGTTTTATTGTTAGCTACAGGAGGTTGTTACAGCCCATTTCAAAATGCCCTTTTTAAAACTATTATACTTTAATAATATCATCAAAACAATTGAACAACCTTCGCGAAACATAAAGGGCCCACCTTTATAAATGCTGTCACAGCTCCTCTTAAAGCTTGTCATAAAACTAATAGGAATTTATTGTAGTATGCCTCAAAGCAATAATGAAACCTATCAAAACCACTTCCTTTTAAGCCTTTTAGCACGAGTTCATACCTATTGGTTCTAAAACGACACTTCTTATGCCAACATTAAAACTCATTGGCTAGAATTAAAACCTTATCAGTCGCAGTAAGCATTTGTTAAGATAATATAGTCCGTAACGTGTTTTATGATAATCTTTTTTCAGAACTAATTATAATACAAACATGTCAAAATGGAGAGAGAACAATAGATAGTTATGAAAGAGATTAAACATGGCGGTATATGATAATTCCCTACTGTATCAAATAGTCCTTTTTGTGAAGATTGAGGCTGTAAAATGGAAACGATGACGACTTTTTTCAAAAAAAGCAGCGCCCTGGAAATAATGTGTTCTCACCAGTTAGAATTGGATGTGAATTTTAATAACTTTTCGAAAAAGTTGACAAAACTGTGTGAATGTTTGCTGAATATGGGTGAGTCGTTTGAAAAATGTGGAAAAACAACATTATCGACAGCAGTATCAATGCATCTTTTCTATTTTTCGCTTGAAATTCTCATTTCCATCAATGGCCGACATCTGTTTGTAGTAAACATGGCGCAAAATATACTTAAAACCAATTTTCTTTCTCTAATGCTTGATTAAAACCTTTAGGTAATGATAAGGCATTTTATGTGACGATGTCCTCCTGTTGAAGTACTTATTGCATATTCAAATCCATTCTTATGACTATTTGCTCCTGGGTATGACAACAAAGCTTCGAAAATGATAAGATTGATTCAAGAAGGTTATAAGATAATGCCTTCATGAAACTATAAAGCTTCAAGAATATCCTGGCTAGTGTTCATTGGCAGTGTTGCAAAGTGTAGAAGAACGTCATCAACATGATTAACGTAACCCTACTCTTGCTGTTTACAGTGTTCACTTTGTGGATTTTGTGATTGGTTCAAAGTAGGAAACCGAGTAGGAAACATAGACAAACTACACTCAGTGCAATTCGCCTGATATTGTGTTGATTGCTCCATTCTCTCAAATGCATGCTCTACTCGCCATCTGACATAACTTGTGCAAAACTCTGTTGTCAACTTCCTCGCTTCCTAGTTCCCATTCAGAAGCACGATGATCAGAAGTATTTTCCATTACGTTCTGACTCGTTGATGGTACTTCATGAACATCAGGTCCTAATGAATTCTTGCTATTTGGTGGATTCAGGTGGTATGAATTGGCTTGGGCTTGACAATTCTGATTTACTGTTGCTCTCACGACTCGA